GATGTGTTTGGCACCGGGAAGGAGGGGAAAGCTTCCTGATGCATTTTTTTCAGCAGAAACCAGAACAGAATTAATGATAATTCACATGAGCTTAGCTCTTCTGCTGGGGAAATACAGCAGTGTCTTGACCCAAGCGAAGCTGTTGGTATTTTCCCATTCTTAAGATCTGTGACAAAGTTAGTGAGTAGTTCGTAAAGTGAGTAGTTCAAAATGTTGGCACTGACCTTTAAAGCTCTAAATCAGGGTAGGCAACCTAAGGCCCATACAAACAAAGACACACAACTTACAAAACCGCTAAACTCCACCTTCCCACCCTCCTGGTGGTACGAAATAACCGGCCAAATGTAGGCACAAACCCTCTCTTTCCTTAACTGTCCACCTATTGAATCCTGGGCCAACAGCCAAAAAAAAGAGGCCAAAATATGGATGAATAAAGACTGTCCAGCATCTTGCATCCGGAAGAGGCTTCTCTCTGAGCCTGTTCACTGTTCCTTGAGGAAGTGGACCTCACCCTTTGAGAAACAGATCTTGTCTCAGAAGTTCTTTAAGCAGTGGCTGCATGGACACCCTAATAGGATGTTGCAAAAGCAAATTTGCAGTGTCGGTTCAGGGTTGCACTGGAAGGTGCACCTCCCAGCTCCCACTCTTCGGAAAGGGGCACGCAGGATAGGGACAGCAAAGACAGAGGCTTAGCGAAATATTGTGGGCAAATCATTTTATGCATTAATCAGATACAGTGGTACCTTGGTACTCGAACGCTGCAAACCCAGAAGTAAGTGTTCCAGTTTGCGACCATTTTTCTGCAGCTAGTCGGAAGACGTGCCTTGGTTTTCGAACGGTTTCGGGAGCCAAACGGACTCCTGGAATGGATTAAATTCGAGAACCAAGGTACCACTGTATTGTGAAGGCCCACTAAGGCATTGACAGCAAATTCCTCTGTCTCCCCCCTGCCCTCGTTGTAATATAGAGCTGTTTGCACCCAGCAATCTGTTGCAAAATGTAGGGTTAGGGTGGGTTTTGAACCTGGAGGACCTGGGTTCGAATCTCACCTTGGCCCCGGGCTCAGCTGCTCCCAGTATCCTTGGCAGTAGGGAAGGAGCTCCTCAGATATTGCATGGCTTCATTGTGATCCCTAATGGTACCGCAACAACTGTTTGTGGTTGTGTCTTGTGCTGGCCTCGGTCCTAACGTTGCGTTCCAGGACAGTTGCATTTCTAAATCAGTGAGCGGATAATACATTCACCTTTTGCACTGGAGAGAATTGGTTCCCCTTTGGGCAGCGGTAGAGCATTTGCTTGGCATGCAGAAGGTCCTAGCCAGGTGCAATCCTGAGGATCTCAAGGAAGGACCAGGAGAGACTCAGGCCAGAAAATCCTGGAGAGCTGTTGCCAGTCAGAGTTGACGGTATGGAGCTAGATGAACCAATGGCCATACCAAGTCAGCTTCATGTGTTTTAAAACCAAAGGGCGTCACGGAGGTGCCACAGAATGGTGGGTGGCAAGAGGACAAGACGGTGACCCCGTTCTGTGCCTGCCCCGAAGCTTTGTGCCCTTCCTCTTCCCCGGTGCCTGCTCTCTTTCCGAATCTCATTGTGCTCATCCATCACCCCTATCGCGGTGAGATTCCTAGCAGCCCGTTTGCCTGGAAATGAAGACGAAAGTTCAGGACGGATCCAGATAGGATGGCTTCAACTTGCACATGGAAAGTTTAAGAGTTGCCATTTCGGTAAAAACACATCGACTTTAGTCTACTTCTTCACGAAGCGCGTTGTCAAAGGAAGGCTCACCTGGCGCCTTTATAGCATGTATTTAGGCACCAGGCAAAAACTTTATTCTATAACCAGGCTTTTGACTGTCTGTGGCCTTTTAGAAGTGGGTGAGATGTTTTTAATCCATTTCTTTCCCCTCTTGGGTTTAATGTGTCTCTGTGGGAGGTTTTGCCTGTCTGTCTGTTTGGTTGGTTGTAAGTCGTTTTTGTGAGATAAAGTGAATACTAATAATAATGAATACTAATAAATAAAGGCTTATGGAAACCCTTATAAAATGGGGAGTTTTGCAGGGCCGTTGGAACAGTGGCTTAACTGCAAATGATTTGGGGCATCTTAATAAAAGGACGTGATGGGTGGAAACAACAGCATGGAACTGGGGAGGTATTCCCTTCAGGTTGCCCCCCAAGTTAGAAATGCTTCTGTGAAGTATTCGGGGAATGCAAGGTTGTCATTTTAAGTTGGGGATATAGCAGAGCTCAGGAGACTGGAATTTGCAGGTTTTGTTATGTTTTTAATATCAAGGAAGCTGGCTGGCAAGACACTGAGCCGCATCTTCCGAGGAATTTAATAACGGAATGTTGTTGAATGCAAATGTGCAAATGTGAAGGGGGGGGGGAATCTATGAAATGAAAAGAGAAAAAGAAAGAGAGGCAATATCCCTTCTTGTCTCTCAGCTGCAGTTGACCCCTTCACCTTGATGAGGCCGGAGTTTCAAGACGTTCCTTTGTAGCATCCCTTATTAAGGAATGTTTTCAGTTCCAGGGTAATATTCCTCGTGTCAGAATGGCTCAAACACAGAAGCACTGCAAAATGCACACGAGCTAATAATAATCTGACTATTATTATTTTTTGAAAAAACATTGATCTGACAAGCCTGCTCCTGTGTCTTGTTCTGTTTTCTTGTGCTTTCCCGAGATTCCGGTATTTGCACAGCAACATGTCTTGAGTGTGTTCTGTCGCGGGGACATTTCTGAAAACACTGCCGTTTAAAGGCACAGAGTTAGCCCTACAAATTGCTCTGTTCTTCTAGATCTCTATCTCTTTATCAAACGTTTCGTGCATGGGATCCTCTTCTTATTGAATGCTTCATGCCTGGGGTCCATTGCGGCCTCATTCTGTGACAACAAGTAAGGACTGCGTCCAGACGCAGGAGGAGCAGAATCAACACCTGCATGCTCAGGTCGGCAAAGCAGATACCTGTTCGAATTCCTAGCCCTGGGACCTAATGGCTTCCAATTTGGCTGTGCTCACGTGCAATGTTAAACCAGACCTCTCCAAAGTGGTGCTGTCCAGGTAATTTTTGTTGTTTAGTCGTGTCCGACTCTTCGTGACCCCCTGGACCAGAGCACGCTAGGCCCTCCTGTCTTCCACTGTCTCTCGCAGTTTGGTCAAACTCATGCTGGTAGCTTCCAGAACACTGTCCAACCATCTCGTCCTCTGTCGTCCCCTTCTGCTTGTGCCCTCCATCTTTCCCAACATCAGGGTCTTTTCCAGGGAGTCTTCTCTTCTCATGAGGTGGCCAAAGTCTTGGAGCCTCAGCTTCAGGATCTGTCCTTCCAGTGAGCACTCAGGGCTGATTTCCTGAAAATGGAAAGGTTTGATCTTCTTGCAGTCCATGGGACTCTCAATAATCTCCTCCAGCACCATAATTCAAAAGCATCAATTCTTCAGCAATCAGCCTTCTTTATGGTCCAGCTCTCACTTCCATACATCACTAGTCCAGGTAATAATATAATAGTATTATTTGTCCCATGTCATTTGACTTGCTTGCCTCAGCCACTCTGGGTGGCTTTCCATCAGCTACAAAAACATAATCATGGCTGTCTTCTAAAACATGGGACACGGATGGTGCTGTGGTCTAAACCACTGAGCCTTCTTGGGCTTGCTGATCAGAAGGTCGATGGTTCGAATCCCCGTGACAGGGTGAGCTCCTGTTGCTCGGTCCCAGCTCCTGCCAATGTAGCAGTTTGAAAGCACGCCAGTGCAAGTCGATAAATAGGTATCGCTGTGGCAGGAAGGTAAGCGGTGTTTCCATGTGCTCTGGCTTCCGTCACAGTGTCCCGTTGCGCCAGAAGCGGTTTAGTCCGGCTGGCCACATGACCCAGAAAGCTGTCTGTGGACAAACGCCGGCTCCCTCGGCCTGAAAGCGAGATGAGCGCCTCAACCCCATAGTCGCCTTGGACTACCCTTAACTGTCCAGGGGTCCTTTACTTTTAAAAAACTTTTAAGTAGAACTTCTATCTCCTTTCCATCTGGCAGGAGGGCTTTGCAAAAGGCGGGCACCACTACCAAGAAGGCTCTGCCTGGTTTGCTAGACTACAACTCCCACCATCCCAGAGTCCCTCAACGTCTGGAGGGTCTCAGGCTCCCCATCCTTGCCTTAAGAGGCAAGGACTCCTTTTTTTTATATACGAGCACCTGGAGGAAAGTGAGGGATGTTGTGCCTGTAAACAAAGACAGAGATGGGCCTCTAGGTGACCCTGGGATTATGTAACGGTGAAAGAGAGTAGCCTCTTTGCTGCCTCCTGCCAAACCTTGTGTGCCGTTTCATGTTGCATTAGCCTCTTGTGTGAGTTGCCCCGAAGCTTTGTGCCCTTCCTCTTCCCGGTGCCTGCTCTCTTTCCGAATCTCATTGTGCTCACCCATCACCCCTATCGCGGTGAGATTCCTAGCAGCCCGTTTGCCTGGAAATGAAGACGAAAGTTCAGGACGGATCCAGAAAGGATGGCTTCAACTTGCACATGGAAAGTTTAAGAGTTGCCATTTCGGTAAAAACACGTCGACTTTAGTCTAGTCTACTTTTTCACGAAGCACGCTCACCTGGCGCCTTTATAGCATGTATTTAGGCACCAGGCAAAAACTTTATTCTATAACCAGGGTTTTGACTATTTGTGGCCTTTTAGAAGTGGGTGAGATGTTTTTAATCCATTTCTTTCCCCTCTTGGGTTTAATGTGTCTCTGTGGGAGGTTTTGCTTGTCTGTTTGGTTGGTTGTAAGTCGTTTTTGTGAGATAAAGTGAATACTAATAATAATGAATACTATTAAATAAAGGCTAATGGAAACCAGCGCTTGCAAATATGCCTACGTTTTCATGTGATAAATCCATGTAACGGAGACATTCCGGAAGAAAAGTGAAGCATGCCGAAGAATAAATGTCCATTCGTTTAAAAAGAAACCCCTGAATTGTCTGAGCTGCTGTCTTAATTTGTTTTTCTCTCATTTCTCCTCTTAGAAAGCCCACCGGCAGCGATGTCCAGGAACGGCTACTTCTTCGAAGAAACAGGCAAGTAGAATCCTACCTTACGAGTAGCAAACTCATCTTCTGCTAATGTAGCCCAAATGGCAACACTCTGCGCTGCAACACCTTGTTGCAGAGCCCACATGTTTGTTTGTTTTATCTCCCACTGGCTGACTTCTTTGCATTTGATCTCTTTTGCTGTTTGTTCTCCCTCCAAAGCAGCAGTTCCCAAATGTTTCCTGGAGGGCGGAGGCTCGCTCCCTTCACCCAGAACTTAGCAATCAGAAATCTTATCATTTCTCGCGGCGTCTACGGGGAGTTAATCTTGTTCTCCATTGCTATTCACGATTTATATGAAAGCACCGGGGGACTTTGTCAGGGTGCGACGCACAACTCCATCTCTCCGTGCCATCTCTCTGAATCGGAAGAAGGCAGCTCAGGTGTTTGACCATTGCCTGGAGGTGGTGTTGAGATGGATCGGGGCCAATAAATAGAAATTGGCATGATGGAGGGTGCTCTGTGTTATGAGCTCTTGGGTCCAGGAAATACAGTGTTGCCCCGCAAGACGAATGCCTCGCAAGACGAAAAACTCGCTAGACGAAAGGGTTTTCCATTTTTTGAGTCGTTCCGCAAGACGAATTTCCCTATGGGCTTGCTTCGCAAGACGAAATGTCTTGCGAGTTCTTGCGAGTTTGTTTCCTTTTTCTTAAAGCCGCTAAGCCGTTAATAGCCACTAAGCCGCTAAGCCGTTAATAGCCGTGCTTCGCAAGACGAAAAAACCGCAAGACGAAGAGACTCGCGGAACGGATTAATTTCGTCTTGCGAGGCACCACTGTAAGTAGATTTCCTTTTCTGGGGAATGTGGCCCTCGCCTGCAGGGATCATAGAATTGTAGGGTTGGAAGGGACATCCAAAAGCCATCTAGGGACAGCAAACTTTTTCAGCATCTCATTTGGAAACCAAGGACCTAGAGTCTGGAGGAAGAATGGGGAGGCGCACAATGCCAGATGCTTGAAATCCAGTGTGAAGTTTCCACAGCCTGTTGATTTGGGGAGCCATGTCATCAGCTGGTGTTGGTCCACTGTGCTTCATTAAGTCCAGGATCAACGCAGCCATCTACCAGGAGATTTTGGAGCACTTCATGCTTCCTTCCAAAGACGAGCTTTATGGGGATGCTGACTTCATTTTCCAGCAGGACTTTGGCACCTGCCCACACTGCCAAAAGTATCAAAACCTGGTTCAATGCCCATGGGATTACTGTGCTTGATTGGCCAGCAAACTCGCCTGACCTGAACCCCATAGAGAATCTATGGGGCATTGCCAAGAGACAGATGAGAGACATGAGACCGAGCAATGCAGAAGAGCTGAAGGCTGCTATGGTCTTCCTGGTCTTCCATAACACCTCAGCAGTGCCACAAGCTGATAGCGTCCATGCCACGCCGCATTGAGGCAGTAATTGATGCAAAAGGGGCCCAAACCAAGTACTGAGTACATGTGCATGCTTCTACTTCTCGGAGGTCCAATATTGCTCTATTTGCAAACCTTGTTTTGCTGATTTCATTTAATATTCTAATTTTCTGAGATTGTTAATTTGGGGTTTTCATCAGCTGTACGCCATAATAATCACAATTATAACAAATAAAGGCTTGACATATCTTGCTTTGCGTGTCATGAGCCTATCTCATATATTAGTTTCACCTTTTAAGTTGAATTACTGAAATAAATGAACTTTTCCACGCTATTCTAATTTTTCAAGTTTCACCTGTAGCTATGCTATCTCCATCTCCTGTGGACAACTCAGTTGGTAGAGTGTGAGACTCTTAATCTTGGGCCCGGGGGTTCGAGCCCCACACTCCACGATAGATGACCCTTGCGGTCCTTTCCTATTCTATGATTCCTCTTTCCCAGCTCTCAACTGTCCTTCGTAAGGCTTGGTTTCCGAGACCCCTTCATCATCGCCCTCCTCTGCAAGTAACATGGCTTAATGGTCCTGAGCGATTTGCAGCCCTCCCTGGTTACACGGGTTGCAGAGGAGTTGCCTTGCTTAGTGCCTCTCCGTCTTGGCGAACTCCAGGGATCGACTAATTGGTTTTGCTGGCAATGCAGAGCTGCAGTCTTGCTCCAGGGCACTGAGGTCCCCAGACAGCTCCGGTTGTTGTCTCTGGTTCCTCTCTCCCCCCCCCCACAGCCTTTTTGAATTGCATTCCCCCCCCCCATTACTTTTGTCATTGCGTTTGGTATGTCTGCCTTGTTTATAACTCTCCAAATTCTTTGCCTGACTGTGGAATTAACCCAAATGCTTTACTGAAGCAAATCCATTCAAGATGGTCCTGGGATATTTCCTTGCTGTCTGCCTTGTTTTACCAAATGAACACACAAACAGATACACACAGTGAATTGTCAAAGGGTCTTGAAACGTCAGGCTCTCTTTTCTAGGGCAGATCCATACTGCTGGCTGCATGCATGATTATTTAACCAGAGGGGATGCAGAGCAGGACTATTGCATTGCAAGCATTGCTGTAAGGTAAGGGGTAAAAGCAGAGACATCACCTTGCCAACAAAGGTCCATATAGTTAAAGCCATGGTTTTCCCAGTAGTGATGTATGGAAGTGAGAGCTGGACCATAAAGAAGGCTGATCGCCCAAGAATTGATGCTTTTGAATTATGGTGCTGGAGGAGACTCTTGAGAGTCCCATGGGCTGCAAGAAGATCCAACCGATCCATTCTGAAGGAAATCAGCCCTGAGTGCTCACTGGAAGGACAGATCCTGAAGCTGAGGCTCCAGTACTTTGGCCACCTCATGAGAAGAGAAGACTCCCTGGAAAAGACCCTGATGTTGGGAAAGATGGAGGGCGCAAGGAGAAGGGGACGACAGAGGACGAGATGGTGAGACAGTGTTCTCGAAGCTACCAGCTTGAGTTTTACTAAACTGCAGGAGGCAGTGGAAGACAGGAGTGCCTGGCGTGCTCTGGTCCATGGGGTCACGAAGAGTCGGACACGACTAAACGACTAAAGAACAACACAAAACACCATTAGGTCCAGTCGCAGACGACTCTGGGGTTGTGCGCTCATCTTGCTTTATTGGCCGAAGGATCCGGTGTACAGCTTCCGGGTCATGTGGCCAGCATGAGTAAGCCACTTCTGGCAAACCAGAGCAGTGCACGGAAACGGCGTTTACCTTCCCGTTGGAGCGGTACCTATTTATCCACTTGCAGTTTGACATGCTTTCGAACTTCTAGGTTGGCAGGAGCAGGGACCGAGCAACGGGAGCTCACCCCGTTAAGGGGATTTGAACCGCTGACCTTCTGATCGGCAAGCCCTAGGGTTTGTGGTTTAAAGGACAAGGGTCCGAGGAAACCGAAAAGAGCCGAAAGCAACGTGTGCCCACAGTTTTTCCGTTTTGCCTGTTCCGCCTCCTGCCATTTGCCATCTCACCTGAAGTTAAGACTCCATGCCATCTCGAGGCATCTCAAAACCCTCGGAATGGCTTTCATTCCTTCCCACTTGCAGCCAAAGACTTAAGGAAACCAGATGGAGAAGGCTACAGTTTATAGTGTATTCTGGGGTCTCCGTTAGGACCTGCAGGGAAAGTCTTGAGACTCTCTGGTTTGTTTATATTGGGGGTGGGAAAGGGGGGGAGGGTAAAGGAATGTTGATACTGGGAATACTTTGTGAAAAGTCTTGCCAATTCTGTCTGATTTGTATTTAAAGCATCTGCCCCCCCCCTCACCCACCGCCAAACTGACAAGTTTAGAAAAGGAAAAGGGTGAATAAAGGGGGGGGGGTTAGGGGAGCCGGAGCTGGCTGGAAAAGGCCGAGGATGAAGCCTTCTGATTTTGCATGCTAATTCGCTCTTTGTATGAGAGCGAGATTATCGATTAATGCAGTGCCGCGGGGCTCGCTTTGAGACAAATCTCGAGCGATCTGTGCGACTTAAAAGTTTGTGCGGTTCTTCAAGCTGTGTTGACACGCAAACAGTTATTTTCAGGATTTAAAAAAAAGAACATTGATGCAGTTCAGGCATTTCAAGCAGCTTGAACATAAAGAAATCCTGCCCGCTGGATGGGGCCAAAGCGGGTTGGACTAGATGACCACTGGGTTCCAACTCTAGGATTCTGCTCCTGCACTCCATTCTCACAGGGACCAACCAGATGCCCATGGGGAATCTGGAAGCTGCGTCTCAATGTACCAGCACCCTCCCCGCTTGTGATTTACACCGGTTGGCAGCCCTCCTTGGGGATGCCGGGACTTGAACCCAGGACCTTCTGCTTGCACGGCTAGTGCTCTGCCACTGAGCTACAGTCTTTGCCAACTCAAGAGGCAGGCATATAATCATATGCACTTTGGCTGTGCACTTCTTCCACTTCTTCTTCTTCTTCTTCTTCTTCTTCTTCTTCTTCTTCTTCTTCTTTTGGATGTTTATTATTTATTTTTCTTTTTTAAAAAACATCCTTAAAATATCAAGGACTTCCCTTCTCCTCCTTCCATGCTTCATTTTGCATATCAGAAATCCCTGCATATTTTACATTAACTAAACCGTTCAGTATTCCATTGTTACATCCATCAAGACTTATTTACACTGTTGAATTTATCTTAACGCTGCCAACGTTTTCAAGTGTACACAGTCCCCCCCCCATATATTCAATAAACATTTTCCAATCTTCTCTAAACGTACGTTCTTCTTGTTCTCTTATGTTAAGTCCGCAAGCTACGCATATTCCATCAGCTTAAATTGCCATTCTTCTTTAGTTGGGACTTTGCTCGTTCGCCATTTTGGGGCTAACAAAACACAGGCCGCAGTGGTGGCATACATAAATAACCTTTTTTGACACATGGGAATTTCCATCTGAATTATCCCCAAAAGAAAGGACTCTGGGGTTTTTTTGGGAAAACTACTTTTAAACACTTTTTTCAATTCATTATGGATCGTTTCCCAATACTCTTTCACACTTTTACAGCTCCACCACATCTGAAAGAACGTTCCCTCCACCTCTTTGCATCTCCAACACTTACCTGATTCAGTCTTTTACATCTTAGCAAGCCTA